ACTTCCTACAAATAAATACTACTCGCCTTTCTTCCTACATTAAGACTACACATATTTTAAGGTAAATAATGAGTGTACTGTATGTGCATTTTACCTCTCTGGGATGTTTTAAATATCGTATATTAAGTATGAGATGGGGAGCCAGGGCTACCTACACCTGGGCTACCTGCACCTGACTTCCTACAAATAAGTACTACTCACCTCTCTCCCAACATTAAGATTACAAATACTTTAAGATAAGTAATGAATTTACTGTGAATGTATTTTACTTTGTGTGTTTTTAATGCCTAGTTCTATTACTAACTTTATATAATTTAGTGTAAACTTGTCTGGCATTTATATGCATTTATACATGGAAAAAAATGGCGTTCTGCCTTCCGGCGATGTCTGCTTTCCGGCGACAGCCTGGAACCTAACCTGCCGTATAAGTGGGGCCCTACTGTACAAGCATATATATATATATATATATATATATATATATATATATATATATATGTACACACCCCTCTGGGTTTTCTTCTATTTTCTTACTAGTTCTTGTTCTTGTTTATTTCCTGTTCTCTCCATGGGGAAGTGGAACAGAATTCTTCCTCCGTAAGCCATGTGTGTTGTAAGAGGCGACTAAAATGCCGGGAGCAAGGGGCTAGTAACCCCTTCTCCTGTATATATTACTAAATGTAAAAGGAGAAGCTTTCGTTTTTCCTTTTGGGCCATCCCACCTCGGTGGGATACGGCTGGTGTGTTGAAAGAAAGAAAGAACTAGACTTATGACTAAGACTCCATGATTAATCTAAAACTTGTAAAAATTTGAAAGAAAAAGGGATTATTACAGAATAGATAATTCAGTTATACACTTAAGCATCTAATAGCACCTTAATTATTTTAAAAAGTGAGTTTATGAACTACAGTAGATATTTACAGCTAAAATAAAGGAGCTAATGAGTATAATAATAAAAGAATGTATTAAAAGTAAAATCAGTAGCACCTGAGGTAGTCTATAGCACCTGGAGTATTTTAATGGCAAAATAGTGAACTTATTACACTTTAGCACCTGAGAATAGCACTTTGATTATTTTAACAATTGTGAATATATGAACTGAGGTAGTTATTTTATATTATTTTTTTTTATTAACACACTGGCTGATTCCCACCAAGGCAGGGTGGCCCGAAAAAGAAAAACTTTCACCATCATTCACTCCATCACTGTCTTGCCACTGTCGCAACCCCCAATCCTGAGGTGTCTCCTGGTGTCGCAAAATTTAAAAAAAAAAAAAATTATTTTTCTTATGAAATGATAGAGAAACTCTTCCCAATTGTAATGACACCAAAAAAAACGAAGTTTGATGGAAAACTGACGGAATTACGCTCTCGCTCTAGCGACCTCAGCGATATTTACAAATCGGCGATTTTGCCCACTTTGAGCCCTATTTTCGGCTAATTCCATTGCTCCAGTCGACCAAACTCATAGCTATTTCTTTAGAACTCCATTTTTTTCTATCAATTGAGTACATGAAACTGCCCATTTACCAATTTCAACTACCCAATAACGTGGTCAGAAATTTGCAATTTGGTCAATTTCACAAAAATTAAAAAATATGACAATTTCAAAATAAGGTCCAGAATGAACAATGCAGACATTCCTGGCTCTAAAATAACCTTTTCTTTGCTCATCAGTCACGTCTCCTGGCCCCTCTGATATTACTCTTGATTTCTATTTTGAATTTTTATTCAGACAAACAATAGAAGATTTACTGTTATGCAGACTACTGCAATACTGTAATAATTGTATAAATAATGTCAACCCATTCATGACTGCATATTAGAATGGCTACTTGGACATTTATTGGAAAATGACATCATTTGTTTACTTTTGAACATCGGCAAAAATCAAACGTTTCCCCTACTTTGAACTCCATTTCCAGGTTCTTTTTATAGTAAAACCAATCAAAATCACCTCTATTTCTATAATATGTTTTCCATTCTATCAAATGAGACCAAGAAAATGAGATTACAACCATAAATACTATACGAAAATAGACCACAAATTCGGCATTTTAATTAAAAAAAACTGTCGGAGTTTTTTTTTTCTCATTATGCACTGCGTGCTCCAGGATTTTTTTTATATGGTGCACACTGACCACACAGACCCATTCTCTCACATGTGGGCCTACCACCTTTCTTCTTCTTGATCTGAAGCTGCTGGAATTTGAGTATATATATGTCAAACACGGTACCTCGTAAGACGTATATATACGGCCGTGACAGTCAAAGGGTTAAAGGAGAAAATATGTTAGGGACTAAAGTAATGGTGAACAAAGTTCAATGGACAGATAGTCACTATGATATAATATTGATTTGGGAGCAAGATCTAATTTGTAATGTATAATAAGTTGAGCAATTAATTGCACTATAAAAAGTAGAGAAATATGAGGTAGCTGGTACTAGCTGGTACTAGTTGGTACTAGCTAGCAAAAGATAGTTTTGGGACTCACACAATAACGTAATTTTAATATACACTAATTGCTCACACAATATAAAAGGGACTAAAAAAAGTAGTGGTAAACAGAATTAAATGGACAGGTAGCAACCATGAATAACATTAATTTGGAGTAAGATTTAACTTGCAACACAAAATTATGAGCAATTAAAAAGTAAAAAGTATTTGAGGTAGCTGGTATTAGCTAGTAAAAGAAGAAAAATAATAATAATAATAATAATAATAATAATAATAATACACAATAAGGTAATAGTAAAAAATAATAATGCACAATAATATAATAGTAACATACACTATATGCACCACACGTATATATGTATTAAGGGCACTTATCTAATCTGTTAAAGAAAGGTCAGCTTTTCTGGAGTTACCTGGAGTTTACCTGGAGAGAGTTCCGGGGGTCAACGCCCCCGTGGCCCGGTCTGTGACCAGGCCTCCTGGTGGATCAGAGCCTGATCAACCAGGCTGTTGCTGCTGGCTGCACGCAAACCAACTTACGAGCCACAGCATGGCTGGTCAGGAACCGACTTTAGGTGCTTGTCCAGTGCCAGCTTGAAGACTGCCAGGGGTCTGTTGGTAATCCCCCTTATGTATGCTGGGAGGCAGTTGAACAGTCTCAGGCCCCTGACACTTATAGTATGGTCTCTTAACGTGCTAGTGACACCCCTGCTTTTCATTGGGGGGATGTTGCATCGTCTGCCAAGTCTTTTGCTTTCGTAGTGAGTGATTTTCGTGTGCAAGTTCGGTACTGGTCCCTCTAGGATTTTCCAGGTGTATATAATCATGTATCTCTCCCGCCTGCGTTCCAGGAAATACAGGTTCAGGAACCTCAAGCACTCCCAGTAATTGAGGTGTTTTATCTCCGTTATGCGTGCCGTGAAGGTTCTCTGTACATTTTCTAGGTCAGCAATTTCACCTGCCTTGAAAGGTGCTGTTAGTGTGCAGCAATATTCCAGCCTAGATAGAACAAGTGACCTGGAGAGTGTCATCATGGGCTTGGCCTCCCTAGTTTTGAAGGTTCTCATTATCCATCCTGTCATTTTTCTAGCAGATGCGATTGATACAATGTTATGGTCCTTGAAGGTGAGATCCTCCGACATGATCACTCCCAGGTCTTTGACGTTGGTGTTTCGCTCTATTTTGTGGACAGAATTTGTTTTGTACTCTGATGAAGATTTAATTTCCTCGTGTTTACCATATCTGAGTAATTGAAATTTCTCATTGTTGAACTTCATATTGTTTTCTGCTGCCCACTGAAAGATTTGGTTGATGTCCGCCTGGAGCCTTGCAGTGTCTGCAATGGAAGACACTGTCATGCAGATTCGGGTGTCATCTGCAAAGGAAGACAAGTGCTGTGGCTGACATCCTTGTCTATGTCGGATATGAGGATGAGGAACAAGATGGGAGCAAGTACTGTGCCTTGTGGAACAGAGCTTTTCACCGTAGAGAATTCATGTTCATTTGAGATGGTGTATTGTTGTCCTGTTGAAGTTTTTCTAAAGCGGAAGGATTCTATAAAGGCTATAGTGCCACCAAAGGGCATTACAGTAATTTCTAATCAGTGGACCTCTGTGAATGAAAAGATGGAAAAGCTGCTGTTGACATGGTTGATGGAGAAACAGCTCACAGGAGATGCATAGTAAACATAAAAATTGTACATAACAGTTCTTAAGATTATCATTATTATTATAATCAAGGGGGAAGCACTAAACCCATAGGATTATACAGTGCCTGGGGGGGGGGGAGGTATTCAGGCTTAATTTGTGGAACTGGAGCACAGATCCCATTCCCTAAATCAAGGAGCCCCTCACCATCATCAAGGAGCCTTCCTTGAGGGGCAGTTCTTAAGAAAAGTGTGAACTCCTGAGAGGATATGCCACTCTGCATTTCTTCTCCAAGGTATGTAAATGCTGTTTGTACACCAGATCTAATTAAGTTACCCTCACAAATTCCGTTTTATAACACCTCTGACGTTTTCATAGCGACCACTCCCGACCACAATCCTCCTCCCTCCACCATCCATGTAATGACATATTTTATTCATTCTAGAGTGTACGTATATCAGGTTTATATGTTATTTATATTGTTTATTATGTCATATTAGATGAATTGTGTTGGATAAATAAGCCGTAGGGTTGATGTTAGGGTTATTTTGTCATGCCTCCCGAGAGCAGGAATTCAGCTGGAACAAATTAATTGCATTTCAGTTAATTTAAATGAGGAAAATTGACCCAGCATATGAACAAATCAGGATACGAACAAGTCCACGGAACGGATTAAATTCGTAACCCGAGGTTCCACTGTATTATTAATAATAATAATAGTAAATTTCCTTGTGCCATGCCAATAATGTAGTTTAAACTAATTAGTCTAATGATAGGCACTAAAGAAAGCCACTAATTATGCAATGTATTTCAGGCAATGAAGTGCATTCAATAAGAGATGTTTTTTTTCCTTTGCTATACAGCACTAAGACTAAGATATAAAATTTATCTTTTGACAGCATGAAACATTGGAAATAGAAGAGATGATGAATAAAGTGAAGGTTGAGCATGAGGAGTGTGTTAGAAAGGAGAATGCAATAAAGTCCAGTAAAATAGAGATTGACCAGGAGTTGGAGAAGTATAACGGCATCATCAAGGAGAATAAAGCTAAGATGTCCCATTGGAAGAAACAGGTTAGTGTTCATCTGTTCTTGTAGAATTTTACTTTTATTGTAGCTTGTGTATCCCAGAGCTAAGTGATATAAAGCTAGAAGGGATGGTAGAATTTCACTGGGAGGAGTAAATGGGTTTAAATTTGTTATATCTGAAAGAACTATTCCTAAAAACAATGTGACAGCCATATTACATGATCAGTTATGCAAAAAAACAAAGGGGGTGTAAATGCTCAACCTTTCAGTGTTGAGACCTCTGCTTACACACTTGATTTCAGTGTTAAAAAATATTAAAAAAAAAAAAAAAAATTCTTACCAAAATCTTAAGAATAATTTTCTGAGTGTTATAAAAGAAAAAAATTTTGCAATCAGTAGTTACCAAGATAGAGGTGTGAAGTTGACAGAAAGTGAACATCTGACGGCAACATCAGCGATTGCCGCTCACTCGGTAATAATATTTTTACTTTTATTCTATTTCTATTTTTCATTTCTAATATTTTATTTTTCAAGTAACTTTTGTAGCCTGTGGCACCAATATAATGCATATTGCACATATATCCACTCATTGTATGCAATACGATAACTGCACAAATATTGTTATCATATTGTTTACAAAACTTGTTCACACAAACCAACAATTGAAAATTATTTATTACTATTTTTTTCTATAATATATAGTACATGTATATACACACATAGTCACTGGACATGTTCCTAGAACTGCTGCAGCTTGTGGAACTCTTGGAAACATGGTGTTATGCAGAGTGCTGTTTTACACTCCTCACACATAAAACGAGGAGTGTCTCTGCGTTTTTATGGGTGGGTTGTTGTGGTTGTGCAGGTTGTGGTGTGTGGGTGGTTGAAGGTGGCCTTTGTTGTGGATGTGCTGAGTCAGCAGCATGGCTACCAGCCTGGGGTGCCACTGATGCTACATGAAGCATTACACCACCTGCTGCTGCATGTATATTATCCATCCTATTTGTAATATTACCTATACCGTCTTCCCCACCGTCCATGCTGTCTTCCCCACCATCCATGCTGTCTTCTCTTTTCACAATTTGTTTCAGGTGTAGGGCCACAGGATGTACTCTGAGATGTACTCCTTTCCCTTGGAATAGCATATGGCATACTACCAGAATGCATGTAGTGTCATATAAATTGAAGCTTCACTGGAGAATATTCCTCATCATTGTCGCTACTGGAATTGTAATAAAGAGCTTGGGTTATTATTGAATTAGAGGTAGGATAGAGAACAGAATTGCAGATGAACATGGAGGCTCTAGGATGGATAGGTGATGTGTAGACCAGGTGTTTACATTGAAGCATATAAGTGAACAGTATTTAGCCCTTTGAGGGTCAGTCCCGTAGTTTTATGGTTTTGAAGCCAGGGCTCAAGCCATAGAACTGTCATGAGCTCAGCTCACTCAGATAAACTGTGAGTGGCAAATTTGGGCCTAGATATGAGAGAATGCATCTGTGGCAAGTGTGCACCATATAAAACAAATCCTTCAGCACACAGTGCATAATGAGGAAAAACTGTGATCGTTGGATTAAAAGAGCGTGGTTTTTTGGTCCCCTTTGATAGAAATAAAGGTATATTACACAGATAGAGATAATTTTGATTGGTTTTATTACTGAAAATAGCTAGAAATTGAGGTCAAAGTAGCGGAAGTGTTCAATCTTTTGCCGATATTCAAGAGTAAACAAATCACATCACACATCCAATGCATGTCAACTGGTGGGTCTAGTATACATTCATGAACATGTTGATATTATTTATACAATTATTACAGTATTGCTTAACAGTAAATCTTCCATTTTTTGGTGTGGATAAAAATCTTTATCCTAGGTAGTAGGTTGGTAGACAGCAACTGCCCAGGGAGGTACTACCGTCCTGCCAAGCGAGTGTAAAATGAAAGCCTGTAATTGTTTTACATGATGGTAGGATTGCTGGTGTCTTTTTTCTGTCTCATAAACATGCAAGATTTCAGGTACGTCTTGCTACTTCTTCTTACACTTAGGTCACACTACACGTACATGTACAAGTATATATATACACACACACACACACACACACACACACACACACACACACACACACACACACACACACACACACACACACACACACACACACACCCCTCTCTGGGTTTTCTTCTATTTTCTTACTAGTTCTTGTTCTTGTTTATTTCCTCTTATCTCCATGGGGAAGTGGAACATAATTGTTCCTCTGTAAGCCATGCGTGTTGTAAGAGGCAACTAAAATGCCGGGAGCAAGGGGCTAGTAACCCCTTCTCCTGTATAAATTACTAAATTTAAAAAGAGAAACTTTTGTTTTTCTTTTTGGGCCACCCTGCCTCGGTGGGATACGGCCGGTGTGTTGAAAGAAGAAAAATCCTTTGTGAATAAAAAATCAAAATGGAATTCATCTGTAAAACCTGGAATTGTAACTAATAAACAGAGGAAATATTTTGGTGCCAGGAATGCCTGCATTGTTTATTCTAAACTCTATTTTGAAATTGGAATATTTTGAACTTTGTGTCAAATTTGGAAAATTACCAATTTCTGGTCACTTTATTGGGTAGTTGAAATAGACAATTGGGCAGTTTCTTGCGCACAGTCAATAGAAAGTGATATTAGTGACATTGCTAAGAATTTGGTCAACTGGAATAATGTAATTGGCCAAAAATAGGAGTCAGTGGGCAAAATTGCTGATGCGTAAATATCGCTGACACATCAAAATTTGCGAGAGCATAATTTCATCAGTTTTCCATCAAATTTCATACTTTTTGTTTTATTGCCTTTAAAAAAAGATTCTCTACCATTTCATAAGAAAAAATGACAAAAATTATTTTTGAAAATTCTTGGATCCCTTGGACAAGGCGTAGAACTACGGGACAGACCCTCAAAAGGTTAGTAAAGGTAGGGAAGTTTTCATTGCATTCGTTGATTTAGAAAAGGCATATGATACAGTGGATAGGGGAGTAATGTGGCACATGTTAAAAGTATATGGAATAGGTAGTGAGTTACTAAATGCTGTAAAGAGTTTTAATGAGGATCAGTGAGGCTCAGGGTGTGTAGGAGAGAGAGGGAGATTTCTTTCCAGAAAAAGTAGGTTTTAGACAGAGATGTTTAATGTCACCATAGTTTAACATATTTATAGATGGTGTTGTAAAAGAAGTAAATGCTAGGGTGTTGGGGAGAGGAATGGGATTAAATTATGGGGAATCAAATACAAAATGAGAGTTGACATAGTTATTTTGCTGATGATACAGTACTTTTGGGAGATTTTCAAGAGGTTGCAAAGTTTAGTGGACAATATTGTGATTGTGTGTAAAGGTAGAAAGTTGAAAGTGAACATAGATAAGAGTAAGGTTGATAAGGGTATCAAATGAGTTAGGTAAAGAAAAATTGGATATCACATAGAACAGAGGGAGTATGAAAGAAGTGGTTGTGTTGAGATATTTGGGAGTTGACATGTCAGCAGATGGGTTAATGAAGGATGAGGTTAACCATAGAACTGATAAAGGAAAAAAAGGTGAATGGTGCATTGAGGTATCTGTGGAGACAAAAAATGTTATCCATGGAGGCAAAGAAGGAAATGTACAAGAGTATAGTGGTACCATCATTTTTATGTGGGTGTGAAACATGGGTTGTAAATGCTGCAGTGAGGAGGAGGCAGGAGGCAGTAGAGAGATCATGTGTAAGGGCAGTGTGGTGTAAATATTTGCAGAGAATTCGTAGTGTGGAAATTAAGAGGAGGTGTGGAGTTCTTAAAAGTACAGTGGACCCTCGACCAACGATGGCATCGTATAACGTTAAATTTGACTAGCAATACATTTTAACGCTAACATTTTGCCTCGACTAATGCTAAAAAAAACTCGACTAACAATATTCGGTCTTGGGTACCAATTAATATCGTTAGTCAAGGGTCCACTGTATTATTCAGAGGGCTGAAGAAGGGTTGTTGAAATGGTTTGGTCATTTAGAGAGGATGGAGCAAAATAGGATGACTTGGAGGGTGTATAAATCTGTAGTGGAGGGGAGGAGGGGTAGGGGTCATCCTAGGAAAGGATGGATGGAGGGAGGGGGTAAAAGAGGTTTTGTGTGCAAGGGGCTTGGACATGCAGCAGGCATATGTGAGCTTGTTAGAGAGTGAATGGAGATGAATGGTTTTTGGGACTTCATGAGCTGTTTGAATGTGAGCAGCATAATATTTTGTGAAGGGACTCGGGGAAACCAGTTAGCTGAACTTGTGTCCAGGAGGTGGGAAGTACAGTGCCTGCACCTTAAAGGAGAGGTTTGGGATATTGGCTGTTTGGGGTGACATTTAAACTGTCATATCTGAGCACCACTGCAAAGACAGTAATTTTGTGTTTTTTTGGTCACCCTGCCTTGGTGGGAGATGGGCGAAATGTTGAAAAAAATATATATACTGTATGTGCATTGTAATTAATTTTTCTCTACTCTCCTCTGCTGTTTAAATATTAATTTAAATGTTGCTAAACATGTCTATATTTAAAAATTCTTTGTTAATTTAGCTGAGTCAACTTGAGCTGACTGAGATCCCAGTTGACAGAGAGGAAGTGGATGATGCTAAGTTAGTTGTCCTGGAAGCTGAAGCTCTAGATGAGCTCGACCCCAAGAAGCTCCAGTACCAGCTTACCATCTTGGAGGAGAAGCTGGCGCAATCAACACCCAACTTGGCGTTCTTCAGGAATATTGCAAGAAAGTAATGTTAAACACATTTTTAATTGTCAGTGTTTGGGGAAATACATGAAAAAAACTAGCATGCTAGCTTGATAACATGCTAGCTTGAAAAACATGCTAGCTTGATAATATGCTAGCTTGATAACATGCTAGCTTGATAACATGCTAGCTTGATAGCATGCTGGCTTGATAGATTGCTGGCTTGATAGATTGCTGGCTTGATAGATTGCTGGCTTGATAGATTGCTGGCTTGATAGATTGCTGGCTTGATAGATTGCTGGCTTGATAGGGTACTTGCTTAATAGGATGCTAGTTTAATCCATTTTGTCTACACACACATGCACTCTTTCCCCTTTCTCTTGCTCATTCTTGGTCACTTTCTTTTCTCACTCTGGCACTTTTCCCATGCTCTCTAGGCCTTTCTTTCCTCTCATGGTCACTTGGCTACTCATCTTCTTTCTTTTTCTCTCTCACACTCTTTTGTTTCTCTTTGATTCCCTGTTTTTCTCTCTCCCATTTTTTTTCACAGAAAATAATGCGGGGAGTTGTGACTCGACCCCCACCACCACAACTAGGCGATTTACATCCATAGATACATGTATGTGAACATGCAATAAAGATGCAAAACAGCACAGTGGAGGTTTGAATGATGCTCTAGGCAATGTTGCAAAAAATGAGTAGGAAGCAGATTAGGTAGGACCCGGGACCAGGTTCTACCTCATTCAAGCTAGAAACCTTCCCCTCAACTAATTGGGCTTCTACTATTTCGGGTAACATTGAAAGCTTCTGATGTTTTGATTGTAACATAAAAATACCTAAATCTATCATCATCTCCCCTGTGGTTGTTTTGCTTTTTACTTATGTATATGTATGTCTTCTTTCTTTCAACACACCGGCTGTATCCCACCGAAGTCGGGGTGGCCCACCAAGGCAGGGTGGCCCCAAAAGGAAAAAAACGGAAGTTTCTCCTTTTACATTTAGTATATATACAGGAAAAGGGGTTATAGCCTCTTGCTCCCGGCTTTTTAGTCCCCTCTTACAACCACGCATGGCTTAGGGGGGAAAAATTCTATTCCACTTCCCCATGGAGATAAGAGGAAATAAACAAGAAAGAATAGAAAGAAAATGAAGAAAACCAGAGGGGTGTGTTTTATATATATGCTTGTTACATGTATGTGTAGTGTGACCTAAGTGTAAGTAGAAGTTGAAAGGGACATACCTGAAATCTTGCATGTTTATGAGACAGAAAAATGGACACCAGCAACCCTTTCCCATTATGTAAAAATTACAGGCTTTCGTTTTACACTCACTTGGCTGGATGGTAGTACCTCCCTGGGTGGTTGCTGTCTACCAACCTACTCCCACAGGACGGTAGTACCTCCTGGGCGGTTGCTTTTCTCCCAAACCTACTACCTAGGATGGGTACAAATATGGGCCTTAATAGGGGTTTACAAATGCTTAATTTTGTAATTTTGGTATTTGTTAATAGTTTGGAGGAATTTTAAATTGTAATTACTTTATAAAAATGTTACTAAATAGTCTGTATGTTTGTCTGAAATACAGTGGACCCCCGCTTTACAATCGGCTTCCAATGCGACCAATTATGCAAGTGTATTTATGTAAGTGCGTTTGTCGTGTATGTTTGGGGATCTGAATGGACTAATTCTAATTCACAAAAATTACTTATGGGAAAAAAATTTCGTTCAGTAATGGCACCTGAACATACTTCTGGAATGAAATAATATCGTAAACTGGGGGGGTCCATTAACATTGCATGTTAATGGCTTTGTGTTGTGTCTAACATTGTTTTGTTACATGTAAAACTATATCATCTTTGTTCACCACAAAAGAAAATTTAAAAAAAAATTGGATATTTAATGTGGCAATTCTCTTAAAAGTGAATGACAGTATAATGTGGTATTAATAAGAAAGTTTGAAGCATTGGAAGATGTGGATGAGTTTAAAAGGGTCGTTAATGTTCAGCGCATGTGTATGAATGTGACAATGTGTTAGTTGAGAGCAAGTTGTTTGTGGGAATTTGTTCTTAGAATGCCAGCAGACTGGAAGCCTACTGTGATCGCTTGTCTCTATCTACAGGAGCAGATCTATGCTCGTAGTGTCCAATCTTTAGTATTTAATCGACCTTTAATTTCATTAATCCCCAGCAGTTGTAGCAGTTTCTATGCTCTCTTCTAACTTAGTGCAGCCCAAAAACTTTTAGTACATTTTTGGGCAGCTCTTCTTTCTTAGGGTAATTTAAAAGCCTCTTGTTCTGCCAGGTGATGGGGTAAGTAAGTTTTTTTTTTTATCACACGGGCCCGATTCCCCCAAGGCAGGGTGGCCTGAAAAAGAAAACTTTCCCCATCATTCACTCCATCACTGTCTTGCCAAAAGGGGTTTGCTTTAAACTACAGTTTTTAAACTGCAACTTTTAACCCCCCTCCTTCAGAGTGCAGTAAGTAAGTCTTCTATGTAAATTTTTAGCTTTTGTCTCCTTTATCCTTTTTTAACTTGAGATGATCTATTTTTTCAGCTTTCCTTCAGCACTCTTATATCTCAGGAATTTTACTTCACAGCTCATTTCTGAACTTTTTTCTAGCTTATCACATTGTTTTAAGTCGCTTGGAAGGTTAGTATGGACAAGTTAGTGTCTGCACATGAACATTTTGTGAGATGTTGTGGGTCGGCTTTGGGCCCTAAATGTGTCCTGGAAAAACCGTGGAGATTAATGAAAAATGTGTTTTCTTTGGTCTTCTAAACTTTTCCCTTGTTAGTGTTCATATAAGCTTTGCTCTGCTTTCTAAATAAAATGATCTCTGCATTTCGTCGGGACTAATTTGAACATAATAACATCACTGGTATTTGTGTTTTCAGGAAGAGATGTATTTAAAGCATGTAGGCGAACTTGAAGAGATTTCTCCCCGGAGAGATGAGCAAAGGAAAGTACTATGAGACATTAAGGAAGCAACGTCTCAATGAGTTCATGAAGGACTTCGCTTTTATATCTAACAAACTGAAGGAAATGTACCAGTTGATAACTTAGGAGGAGAGCGAGTGGAGTTGGTCGATGCCTCTTGATCCATTTAGTGAAGGAATTGTTTTCAGGTAGAAACATTTTGTGGAAATAATGTTCATTGTGAATTTTTTCTGTTGCAAACAAAACTGAAGTGGCTAATAAAAAAACCTTTGGTATAATGCCCCCCAAATTCCAAACTTTTCAAAGGGACACTGGTTACTACAAATAAACGCATACAACCTTCTACTTGAAGCTTGTTAAGGGAAAACTACAAATGTCCAACAAAATGATTAAAATGGCTCTCCCATTGCAAGACAAAAAAAGGGAAAAATTCATAAGTCTTTACCTCAACGCAACTTTAAATTCAACGCTGCATTCAACATATAACAAAAAAGGTTGACATTTCTCCAAGATACATTACTATGTACCTCAAACAGCACCACTTACAAAATTTACTACTCTGTAATCTATCTCTTACCTCACCTGTGCTGTTGGATCACTACAAAAAATTACCTAAGTCAATAAAACTCTAAATATAATGGCTGTATGAATGATCACCCAGTCTACTGCCGACAACACAATCCCTCACTCCTCAAAAGCTTAAATCTACTTAATATACAAAAAATTTTCATCATACTACTATGCACACTACATATATAGGACAGTCAGTTCAAATATTAATCCTACTTTAAACTTTCTTGATAGCTGCAATAGAATCATGGGTATAATACTAGACACAAATAAATAACAAAAAGGCACAATACCATGACTGGAATGATACACAAATAACCTGCACATAAATAGAGAAGCTTACAACGACGTTTCGGTCAGGGCTTGGACCATTTACAAAGGGCACACAGTGTGACTTTGTAAATGGTCCAAGTGGCCGAAACGTCGTTGTAAGCTTCTCTATTTTATGTGCAGGTTATTTGTGTACTGAACAAAAATCTATAATATTCCTTGTGTCTGACTTGTTTGTGTAAAAACTCAATATGCATAAAAGGACCTAAAATATGTAACTCCTGAGGTAGCAGATGTTCCCGTCAGCCCGCCACTTCCAAGCTGCTGTGAGCAAGCTCCTTCCTGTCTTACTGTCATCCTCACAACAATTATCTCGTCTATTTAGTATCACAGCGTATAACTACCCTTTATTCCTACCCTAATTTTTTCTTATAATTTTTTTTTGAATTACTGAATGCTTTAAAAATTGTATAATGTAAATATTGTTATTGTCATGTACCTTGCTAGGACTTTATGTCCATATACAATGAGTCATTTCTCACTGTGTCAGTTTACTGTTCAATATCATTAATATCCCGTATAGATACATGTAAAATTCTATTTCTTCACTTTCTGTTTAAAAATGTAATAATACAAACCCAAATAGTTTCACTTATTCAAGCTTTTATTAGATTATATTTTAATTAATGAAGTAATCTTAAATGATCAGTGGAGTTAGTAATGTTTTTCTTGCCACCTTTTGAGGACACTATATATTCCGGGGCCGTTTTTATTTTATTTTTTTTGTGTATGAAATTAGTAATTAATGATTTAAAAGTTCGTGCTTTGTTAAAAAATTGTAATTACATTTCTTTTTCAGCGTTTTGCCCTCCGGAAAAAATCTTGGGAAAACCAAATTTTTAATTTATCTGGTGGTGAGAAGACATTATCATCCCTGGCACTTGTATTTGCTCTCCATTACTACAAAAACCCAAAATCATTTTACGTCATGGATGAGATTGATGCTGCTCTCGACTTCAAGAATGTCTCAATTGTTGCCCCCTATATTAAGGTATGGATACCTTGGTGACTCTTTATATAAACTTCTTTGAAAAAAAATGTACTGGGACCATCTATCTTTAAAATTTAAATTTTATCAATTTTAAAACCCAAACTGTGATCAGAATTATCTTCAAAACCCCAAGTGAAGTTACTGGAATGGTTTATTAACTACAGTAGGGCCCCCCCTTATACGGCAGGTTAGGTTCCAGGCTACTGTGGGAAAGCAGAGCGCCATTTTTTTCCCACTTATAAATGCCAGATAGCGAGTTTACACTAACATATATTAAGTTAGTATAGAATTAGACATTAAAACAATAAAAAAGTAAAATACACACACAGTACACTCATTATTTACTTCAAAATATTCGTAGTCTTAATGTAGGGCAAAAGGTGAGTAGTATTTACTGTAAGAAGTTAGGTGTAGTAGCCCCCTGGCACCCCCCACCCACATATAATATACTATGACGATGCTTGAAGCTCCTAGTTGATAAAATGCATAGGGTGTACACTTTCTACTTATCTTAAAATATTTGTAGTCTTAATGTAGGTGAAAGGTGAAAAGTATTTATTTGTAGGGAAAGTGGCGTGGTAGGTAGGGTAGTGTGGGGGGCCAGCCTGGCCACCCCACTCACTATGTAAACAAAGGGACGATGCAACTGGTTATGGTTCATACACATTCATACGAACACCTTTTAAATTTTGTACAAATTGTGCCACAGTGGTACAGTAGAATGAATAAAGACCAACACTTTCTTCTCATGTAATTTTAGAAGGAATGAAGCTGACAGATTATTACTTTTATTACAAATTATTATTTTTTACAAGTGGCAGATGTTGCGGTGTATGGTGCAGGAGGTAGGTTACTGAAAGCAGTGAAGAGTTTTTTATGAGGATAGTGAGGTTCAAGTTAGAGTATGTAGGAAAGAGGGAAATTATTTCCAGTAAAAGTAGAGTTAGACAAGGATGTGTGATGTCACCGTGGGTTTTTTAATATATTTATAGATGGGGTTGTTAAAAGAAGTAAATGCGAGGGTCTTGACAAGAGGGTGGGATTAAAAAATAAAGAATTCACATAAAATGGGAGTTGTCACGTTGCTCTTTGCTGATGACACCGTGCTCTTGGGAGATTCTGAAGAGAAGTTGCAGAGATTGGTGGATGAATTTGGGTTAGGGTTGCCCAAAAAAAGAAAATTAAAAGTGAATACAGGAAAGAGTAAGGTTTTGGAGGATAACAAAAAAGATTTGGTGATGAAAGATTGGGTATCAGATTTTGGGGGGAGAGAGTATGGAGGAGGTGAATGTATTCAGATATTTTTGGGGGTGGAAGGTGTCAGCGGATTGGGTCTATGAAAGATGAGGTGAATCATAGAATTGATGAGGGGAAAAGGGTGAGTGGTGCACTTAGGAGTCTGTGGAGACAAAGAACTTTGTCCCTTTGGGGGCAAAGAGGGGAATGTATGAGAGTATAGTTTTACCAACGCTCTTATATGGGTGTGAAGCATGGGTGATGAATGTTGCGGAGGAGAAGGCTGGAGGCAGTGGAGATGTCATGTCTGAGGGCAATGTGTGGTGTGAATATAATGCAGAGAATTCGTAGTTTGGAAGTTAGGAGGAGGTGCGGGATTACCAAAACTGTTGTCCAGAGGGCTGAGGGAAGGGTTGTTGAGGTGGTTTTGGACATGTAGAGAGAATGGAGCGAAACAGTGACTTAAAGAGTGTATCAGTCTGTAGTGGAAGGAAGGCAGGGTAGGGTCGGCCTTGGAAAGGTTGGAGGGAGGGGGTAAAGGAGGTTTTGTGTGCGAGGGGCTTGGACTTCCCGCAGGCATGCCGTGAGGTGTTTGATAGGAGTGAATGGAGACAATGGTTTTTAATACTTGACGTACTATTGGAGTGTGAGCCAAAGTAACATTTATGAAGGGGTTTCAGGGAAACGGCAGGCCCGGGCTTGAGTCCTGGAGATGGGAAGTACAGTGCCTGCACTCTGAAGGAGGGGTGTTAATGTTGCAGTTTAAAAAAATGTAGTGTAAAGCACCTTCTGGCAAGACAGTGATGGAGTGAATGATGGTGAAAGTTTTCTTTTTCGGGCCCCCCTGCCTTGGTGGGAATCAGCCAGTGTGATAATAAAAATAAAATTATTATTATTATAATCATAATAAAAAAGAAGCGCTAAACTCACAAAGGGTCGTGAATTGCTATATGTATATAGTGAAGGCATATGAAAGGAATATTTATCTTTCAGTTATCCCCAGTGTTTGACCAGAAAAACATAATTCTTTCGACAAACCTACAAAGCCTCTTTGTAAACAAAATCTCAATATTTTCAAGTTTTTTTTCTGTGGGTGTATGTATAATGTTTATGTGCTATATAATTTTGAAGAAAATATCATAGCTGGATTAATGAAAATGTCTTTTTTAATGTAAAATAAAGACATTTAACCCTTTTCAGGGTCCAGAGGGCCAAATTTCAATAGTGCCGCCACCAGTGTTCAAGAATTTCAAAAAGTATTTGTTATTTTTTCCGTATGAAATGGTAGGCGTATCTTTTTCTGAAGGTTATAAAACAAAAAATGTGCGAAATTTGATGGAACAATTGACGAAATTCGCTGTTGTGAATTTTGATTGTGTCAGAGATATTTATGCATTGGTATTTTCTGTGATTTTGCTGACTTTGATACCATTTTAGGCCAGATTATTATTTACTTTCCAGTTCGCCAAATTCTTAGCTTTTCATAGTATTACTTCTTTTCTACGATTGATCACAGGAAATAGCCCCAACTGTTTCAACTACAAAATAAAGTGATCGGAATTTTGCAACTTGGCCAAGTAATGCAAAGATCAAAATATTCCAATTTCACAATAGGCGTCCTGATAAACAATGTTGGTTTTCCTCGGCACAAACTAACAGTTCCTCTGGTCTTAGTTATGTTTTAGGCTGCACAAAGAATTCCATTTTGATTTTTTATTCTCATAATAATTTTTATTCAAACCAAAAAATAGTAGATGTACTGTTATGCTATATTGTAATAATTGTATAAATAATTCTCAGCACATTTGGGATACGTATATTAGGACCCCCCGCTGCGAGTGTATTAGATGTGTGGGATTCATTTGTATACTCTTGGACATCGGAAAAATTTAATATTTCTGCCTATTTTAGTTCAGTTTCAAGCCATTTCCATTACTAAACAATCAAAATCTCTTGTTTTTTGTAATATAGCTTCATT